AAGAAATATTCTATGCTTCCCACGGAGTATCCTATTATTATTGGTCTAAACTGCTGCAACTTTATTTTGGGGACATTATTGTACTTGAAATTGTTCTGACAGAGGAGACTGACCGATACTTCCTGTTTTGCACAAGACAGATCTTTTTTTCTCAAGCACATTTCAGTTGTGTGTGGTGCTGGGACATTTCAAAACAGCCATTAACTCCAAGTACTCCAACACACAGCCTGCACATGACTGTGCAGCCACCAAGTACACTGCAAAACACCAGCACCAGGAACTATGCCCATCCCCTGAGGACAAGCAGAGGAGCACAGCATGGGCTGATACATTATTGCTGCCACACATGCAGGCAATTGCTGCTCCTGACCCTCCACAGCCCCCCCTAGGACAGGGTTGTTTAGTACCCCCACCAAAACCAGGACATAATGCTCCAAGCAAAGTGGTGCTGTGTGTTACCACTTTTCTCTTTACTAGACTAGACATAACTAGTGATAATGACTTCTTGGTTTAGGTTTAACACATTTTCATCCTTCTAAGACAGTTAAGCATCTGCATAACTTTCATCTTTAAAGTACTTTCGCAGACTTCAAAGGTGATGCCTAATATTAAACAAGTGCGTAGGCTCCTATTGAACTGTGGTTTCTTGTGGTGTTTTCTGAACTGGCGAGAGCAGTCAGTACCATCCTGAAAGTCTAACTTGTCTGCATAGGGGTAGCAAACCAATCATACCTGCAGCATTTGTTCTTCCTCTGAAAATATCATCGTACACTTTCCATTGTGGGGTCACCTGGTAGGCATGGATGAACACCACAAAAACCACTACCAAGCACATTAATGGCACCAGAGCAGCAGTGAAGAGTGCAGCGTAGGCATTTGGAATGAAGCACCTGATGGAAAAAAAATGGAAAAAAATTGCTATTCATAAACATAAGAGACATTCTAAATGTCCATGAGTGAAATTTCAAAACCAAATGTTTTTGAAGAAGGATATGCTCTACAAACCACAAATTCTTTAACTCTATTACCAGACTAACCTTGGTAGGATGCATTGGGTTCTGTTGGTTCTTATCTCCTCATCGTATCTTAAGGAATATAACACTTGCACCTTAAAAGTGTGTGGTTTATAGTTTAGCATAATCACTGTTGGAGAGATTTAAACTGTTGCAATGGAACAAATTATATTTTAACAAACTCCATGCATGTTATATGCATTTAATGTGATCACTCTTAGTCACCAAAGTCTAAAACGCCATTATGCAACTTTCTATACTTAGCTCCTGAAACCACAAATTAACTTTTGAGAAATATACTTTAAAAATAAATTAACAAGTCTTAAAGGCAAGATAACTATTCCTCCTCAAGTTGTTGGAAACTGTATGTCATTTGTACACTGAAGCCAAATGCTCCCTCCCTCCTTTTTTTTTTTTTTTTAAAATTGTCCTGTCTCTCCTTACGCTTTCCATTTATTAAGGTTAAAATTATTTATAAAGATGTGACAGGAACAGAATTTATTCCTGAAAAAGAGTCAAATTACACATATAAGATGATGACACGAAGGATATGGAGAAGATAGTTAAAAAGAGTTCTCAACAGCATGAGAGATCAGGGTTTTCTGTAAACTCCCTGGAGATCAGTATGTGCTTTACAGCCACTGACCTACTCTAGAGATGACGCACAATGGAGCAGCCCAAGGGACAGCTTGGGAGTCAGTATGTCTAGAGAGTATGTGGTCATTGCTATCCCTATTAAGAGGGTGTAACTTACCCAGCCCTTCTGCTTGTCAGGTCAGCTCTGCTAAATAAGCTTAGAGTCAATGCTGGCAGTGTTCAAGGCCAGGCTGGATGGGGCTTGGAGACACCTGCTCAAGTCCAACAGAAGGTGTCCCTGCCCACGGCAGAATGTTGGAACTAGATGGCCTTTAAGGTCCCTTCCAACACACATCATTCCATGATTCTATGACTCTATGACAGTATACATCTGAGAAGAGCCTGGGTACATGTTTCACTGATGTAACTGGTGTACCTTCAGGGTTTGCTTAGGTGCACACGCTTAGTAAGTCCAAAAAGTCAAGATTACATTCTCTGTCAGCTCTTCCAGAGCATCAATAGGGCATAAAGAATGAATGCCAAAATAATTTCTAGCAGAATGTAGATAACTTCTGCAACTCTCTTCAGGAGGTACAGGCTCTGTCAGACACCAAGCTGAGATGCCACCAGATAACGTAACTGCACAAGTAAGCAAGAAACAGGGAAGGCCAGGTTGGACAGAGGTTGGAGCAACCTGGTCTAGTGGAAGGTGTCCCAGCCCATGGCAGGGAGTTGGAATTAAATGAGCTTTAAGGCCCCTTTCAACCCAAACCATTCTATAATTCTATGATTCTCTATTGCGTAATTGGTGTTCTTTTCACAGAATCACAGAATGGATGAGATAGGAAGAGACTGCTGGAGATTACTTTGTCCAAACCTCCTTCTCGAACATAGAGCCAGTGGCCCAGGACTTGGTCTAGATGGTTTTTTTTCAGTATCTCCAAGGATGGAGACTTCATGACCTCTCTGGGCGACCTATGCCAGTGCTCAGTCAACCTTCACAGTGAAACCATCATCTGGCTCTGTCCTCTGTGCACCTTCCCTTCAGGTGTTTACATTCATTAATAAGATCCTCTGGAGCCTTCTCCAGGTTAACAGTCCCATCTCTCTCAGCCTTTCATCACTGAATTGATGTTTCAGCCCTCACTCATCTTCCCAGCCCTTTGTTGAACTCTGTCCAGTCTCTCCATGTCTCTCCTGTGCTGGGGAGCCCAGAACTGGACACAGGACTTCAGGTGTGGCCTTGCCAGTGCTGAGCAGAGGGTAAGGATTACCTCCACTGACCTGCTGGCAACACATTTGTTTCCTGGACACAACATCTGATTCATTTCACCCTTTTAATTTTAATATTTCTTAGGCATGAAAGTTATTTTTCTTCTTGAGTGGGACCAATTAGCATTAAGACATGAAGGCACACTACCATAACCTATGCTGCTTTTAATGATTAAAATAAAGCCAAGACTCTTAGGACAAGGATAGTCTCCTATAAAATCATATTTATGATCTAAAGTCTGTAGTTTTTTTTTCAATTTGATAAATTTTTGTATTTCAGAGATCACATATTCTCTTCAAAAACTTCTGAACATCACAGAAGTTTTCTGTGAACACTATATTGTTAACAAAAGCTGCATAAAAATGAAACCCCACAAAGATGGATCAATTTTATTAATACCCTTAAGTACTCACTCTAAAAAAGACACTGAAAAGTTATGTACAAAAGAAGTACACAAAGACATATTAACAATTCTTTTTCTTGAAAGCAATGGTGAGCAATTCAACAATGACTACTACTTCCTGTAAGCATACATATAGTAGTGTGATGACACATATTGAAAAATATCTTTTACGCTGGAAATCCTATCGGACATCATTATAGGGATCAACTGAAAATATTTATTATACTTGTCACTAGGGACACATATGTATTGTTCTGTTACCATCACACATTTTTCATATGGAATTACTGTGCATCTCATATTCCTAGCATTGGATGGGAATAGAAGGCAAACGTCCCAAAACATCAACTAAGTTGGTGTTCCAGAACACAACTACTCCACAGACAAAGGCCTAGAAAGACTGATGTGGAAACTGGAATGATCTACATAATTACAAACCTTACTTGTTTAAAGAAGTGCACTATCTATCTCCTGCAGTACAGCCTTCAAGCAAGTTATCATTTTTTAAATGGGCACCATTAGTAAAGTAAGTCTTTAACTCACGAAAGATGAAACCATGGTGCACAATGAAGTAACTTTTGTATTTCTTTCTTGGTGAAGTAACTGTAAGATTTTTATTCTGTTTGTTTTGAACCTCAGTAATAGCAGAAAAAAATCTCCAAACTTACAGCTAACATACACACCTTCTGCAATGGGCACAATTAAAATAAAACACTGCTAGCTTCTTCAAAGACTGTCATTTTATTACAAAGTTTCTCTGACTTCCTATTAACCAAATCAACAACTGACAAGATGTATACTGGAAGTATTTGTTAGTGCTATTACATAATTAATAATAAAAAAGGAGAAAGAAGGAAAAAAAAAGGCAAAAATAACAAAGCAACATTTTTAAGGAAATAAGAACTACTAAAAAAGCCTCAGGAAGTTATAAAATGAAAGAACTGGCATATTGTGTTCCCTACTGAGCAAGAAAGATTGAAAATAGATCAATGTATTAAAGACAGTTTCATTCCATCACTGTTATGTCTTGAATTCTAAGGACAATCTGCTTGAAATGCATCTCAAAACTATGAAATGTTAAGTTTGACAAAAAAATTGGAATTGTTCTTGTCTATTAAATACCCAGTGTTCTCTAAATTTAGTTTTGTCAGCAAAAATCTTTTGACTTTTAACAAGTGATAATGAAATAGGGAATTGTAGGTTAGGTAATCATTAAGTTGTAACATGTTTTATAAAGAAGCTTTGTGACTTGTTACGAACAGCACTTCCTGAAATCAGCAAGGCCTAGATAAAATTAGCGGTTTCTCACAAGAACTAGTTCCTAACCGGCTGAAGCTGATCTTGTAGTTTGGAGAGAACCCAAGAGAACTTTGAGCATGCACAAAACCAAGGGGTGAAGAGTGCATGGCGAGGAAGACCTATGGCCTTCACCCCCCACAACCCCAGAAGACCACCACCAGAAGACACTGCACAAGCGCAAGGAGGAGGAGCCCTAATTTTAATGCGAAGCGGGGACAGGTCATACATATGTATAGGTGTATTAGGAAATCTCATGTATATGCAACAGTTACTGTATAAATTTAGAGCAAATTGTCACGACAGGTGCACACGGTTTTGGTGGGACTACCCCCTGTGCTGCCCAGCGCTGAATAAACATACCTACTTTACAGTCTTACAGATTGTGGAGTCTGCTTTCCACACGTAAATTTGGCGAGCCAGGCAGGAGGCTCTCTGCATGGCTGTGGGATCAACTGCGGAGCGGACACCCCTGGGCGCACCCCAAGCATTTGACTTGGAGGAGCCTCCGCTGCCAGCCGCTCACCATGGGAGCAGACAACGACCTCCTGAAGCCGCGGAAGAAAATGGTATGTTTTGTAAGAGGGACTTGTAAGTTGTACACGTGGTCGGGGCAGCTGGTAAATTGCGCAGAGATATCTGTCATGCAGCATAAGCCCATATGGGAGGAGGGTACCCGATACGGTAACAGGGGGGATTTGCTGACTGATAGGGTGGCCACTAGCTATCTTGGGAGTAGACCGAGCAAATCTGAGGTCACCGCTGCATCCTAGTGTCGGAAGCCAGGACGGACCTGCTAATGACTGGTATATAAGAAGCAGGAGAAGGGTAAGCGGGCCTCTCGCAATTGCGATAGGACTATTTGCAGCTGCTGGATGGATGTTATCTGGAGTGATAATTGTATTACCTGTATACCCAGGAATTTTATGTTAAAAGCTTTTGTTTGAGTGTGTGCATGTAATGGTCGAGCAGCTTATATGCCCGTGTACTGTGACCAAGGAGAATAGCAATGGAAATTACTCCTTCGGTGGTTTGGGCTCGAACTTCGGGAATATTTAAAAGAAGGAGGACATTGGACAAACAGGAGAAATAAAGAATTTTATTTAAGAGGGGCATATGTGACTCCTGCAGGGTGGAAGGTGACCTTGGACTGGGAACAACCTTCGGATTCTAAGTTCCAGTGCCAATGCACTAACAAGGGGAATTCCCTGCTTTACACGTGAATTTGTTCCTAGATTATACAAAAAATTGGCACCAGGCTTGGGTTTTGTTGCAACAAGTGTCAAAAAATGATTTGCGTGGAAACTCACCAAGAGACTAGTGAAACAAGAAATACGAAAAAACCCACAATCTGATAATATAATATAGAAATGGGCAACACTCAGGGGGGAATTTTGAAGAAGAACCCCTTAGGCTGTGTGTTAGCCCACTGGAGAGACACTGTTGGAACAGGTGGTACAGAAAGTAAGAAAACTCGTATCAAATATTGTAATCAGTGGTGGCCTTTATATAAGTTGGAGGATGGAGCTAAATGGCCATTCAATGTCTCAATAGATTATAACACTCTCCTGCAGCTTACGTTGTTTCTGAGAAGAGAAGGAAAGTGGGATGAGGTTTCATATGCAGGTATGTTTTTCACTCTCCAAAATCATCCAGAGTGGCAAAGGGACTGTGGAATGCTACCACCACAGGACCCCATGGTACTCGCACTTGAGCAAGAAAATAATAAAGAGATTAAAGGTAAACTGAAGCGGTGCTGCTCGGGATGCAGTATTGGGCAAAGGTGCACTAGAACAGACAAAATTCACCAGGCACCTGAGCAAGATCTAACTGACCTGTTTAAGCCTCCCCCTTGACCACAGGAACTGGATGCGGACTCAGATGGAAACTCCACTCCAGACAGTCCTGTATCTTCCTGTACTAGAAAGAAATCGGCCCCAACAGCCTTACAGGCACCTCTTCGAGAGGCGG